TTTTTGCGTAATCTTGCTCACAAACAAACAAACCAACAAAAAAACGGACAGGGGTGAAAACATAACCTCTTCAATAGAGGCTGAACACAGAGCTTGATAAAATATATGAAGCCCTTCATTTTATTCCATTGAGAAGTAGCTCAGTCCATAGAGACTTGGCTTGGGAACCGGAGGATGGCGGGTTCAAGTCCAATATGGATGGAAGTTGGAGAGGTGCCAGTTCACCTCCTGGGCACTGCCGAGGTGCTCTTGAGCAAGGCACCGAAACCCCCCAATTGCTCCCCGGGCGCCATGGCTGCCCACTGTGTTCCGTGTGTTCACACGGATGGGTTAAATACAGAGTTCAAATTTCCCCATGTTTGCATGTTGCATGCTGTGTGTGGGACAATAAAGAGGAATCTTAATCTTAAATTTAATTCAGCCATTGAGGTTCAGGCCTAATAAAAAAAAGTCCACATATTTGCAACTTGCGTCAAGTAGCATCAAGGATCAGATACAAGTCCTCAGTCTGTCAGGTGGGAAAGAAATGGGGCAGCTGTGGAACTGTCACACTGCTTGTTCTGTTGACAACAATAATAATAATAATATTAGTTGATAGCTATAGATGAATGACAACTTCCATTTCCTGAATGATCCCATTACACACAGAGCAAGGCACAGTTGTAATTAACTTTCCAAGTGGTTCTCAGGTAGAGAGAAAACACATCTTATTCACGTTCCTTCAGGGCCTGAGTCCCTCCTCACTTTATGAGATCACTCCATCTTGAGACATCTGCTCCGCACACCCCTCGATGGCAGTGCGACAATGAAGCAATGTGATGCGGTGAAGTGTCCAGCAGGTTAAAGATTAAGGATATTACTGAGACAGGGAATAAAGATAGGTTTGAATGAAAGGAAATAGTCAAAGCATGGGAGAATTAATCATTGGGACACCTGCATCACCGTTTCCCTTAAAGGTCCAGTGTGTAAGATTTAGGTGAAAGGGAACTATTAGCAGAAACTGAATGTAGAATAATCCTCATGATGTTTTCACTAGTTCGTTTTGTCTAAATTGTATGAACTGTAGTTTTCTTTACCCCAAAAATGGCCCTTTATATTCAAAAAGTTATATTTACATCGAGGGGGTCCTCTATACGGAGGCCACCATGTTTTTTACATTAGTCCAGACTGGACAAACTAAACACCTTTTGAGTTTTTATGACATTTACAGGCTACCACAGTTTCCTTATCATGTTTGGAAGGACAGGGTGAGGGGTGTTCAGCTGCAACATGCAATTTTAACAACAGATATCACAAAATTCTACACACTGTACCTTTAAAAGGGGTGTGAAAAGTTTAGAACGTTTAAAAAATTGGTCATATGAACCACATTGGCCTCATTCTGATGAGAATATATAGAGCCTAACATATAGGTCAGGGTATACTGTGCACCTTAGTTACTGTAACCAAGTTACATGTTGCAGCTGGAAACCTCTTACCTCACCCTCCCCTTCCACACATTAATGAGAACCTGTGGTATAGCCTTCAGTTGCCATAAAACTCAGAGTGTTTAGTGTCCAGTTTGGGCAACTGTAAAAAACATGGCAGCCTCCATAGAGAAGACAGCAACCCTTTTTATCTCAAACAGTAAATCCATTCATGAAGCTGTTATATATATTATATGCACGTAATGCTTTTATTTATCTTATAATTTTTATTTGTATTTTCTTACATGTTGCTTTTACAATTTGCACTTGAATGGCCTTGTTGTTGAAAATCAACATGCCTTGTCTCTTGTAGGCCTACGGCTTGTAGCAGCATTGAGATAATGATGTGAGAAAATAACATTCAACATCGCTGCACCTTGTTAAGCTCTATAAGACAAATCGTGATAAGTGAATATGGTCTATACAAATAAAATTTGATTTGATTTGATATAAAGATAAATGAACACTTTAAGGTTAAATTAACTCCACACTGAGTGGAAGGATATGTAATAGATTATGTTATCCCTCTTGATGGCAGCAAACAGCAAAGTATATCTACTGTTTTGAGCAAAGCAGAGCTGGGTTGTGCAAAAGCCCACGATTGATGAAAAAGACAAATTTCACAATGGTCGTCTCCAACAATGAGAGGATCCACTTTAAAAACAGACACTTTTTAAATCAGCTGAAAGAGGGGGAAAGCAGCTCTGATAAAAAATAGGCCGTGTTTCTTCAATAAATTCTCAAAACTGTGAGGTTGTCCAAGTCAGAATTACAGCATTCGGTCAAGGACGAGGCCACAAACCAAAGAGTGATGACCAAGAACCTACTTTGGTGTTTTTCTGCCAGAGAGGATTGAATTATTATGTTCTATAAAAGTTTAATGGGATTTCAGCAGGCCTAATATATAAAAGGGAGGCTGAGAGACTGAGCCGCTGTGCTTTGGTTCTTTCTTTATAGCCCCTTGCTCTCTGTACCATGTGAGAGAGGATTACTGGGCAGGGAGCTGCAGGACAAACAGCTGAGTGGACACAATGTTTCATGGTTTGGATTTTGATTCACCGGCCGAGACATATTCAATCATGTTGCAAATCACATTTAGGCAAACACAAGCACACCATTCAACTCTAACACAGCCTGAGCATCAGCACCCTTTAGCAAAGACCTCAGCACCGCTTCCCCATTACAAGGCTGAGCGCTGCAATTTAGAGGTATGTGTTAGTCCACTTACGACACTATTAGTCGAAAGTGCAGCTCCTATTTTGGCCTGAAACCTATCAAGTGAAATGAAAAAATAATCAGTCAAGTCGGGTCAGTTCCAGTCAATAAATGTGGTCATGACTCCTCATGTAAAAAAATATGGCCTGAATTTAGATTTCTTGTGCTACTGTATATAAAGTCTTTGCTCGCAGTTCAAAATGCAAGACAATTGAATAAATGTATTAAATCCTTGGCAGTCAATGGGTGTAAAATCATCTGGTACATCATCATTAGGCTATGACCAAGTTGTCAGTGAATTGACAGGTGATCAATGCAGAGGCCCTCTCCAACCAAAATTTGATCAGTGAATTCTATTATTTTATATATCATGTTATTATATTATGTTTCCCTCGACACTGCATCATTGCTCACAGCAACATTCTCACTTGTAATTGGTGTAGCATATAAAAATTGTATTAAATTCAGTCAGGGGTCTACCCCCTCTCTTTGAAAAAAAGAACGCATTCACAAAAACCTTAAAATGTTATTATATTGATGTTATGTTGTTATATATATACACCACAGTAGAGATGTATATGTATTATTATAATGGTTATTATTATATAATATGTTATTATATGTACTATGGACTCAAGCAGACATCACACACACACACACACACACACAAACGTACATCATTTTTTTGTATGTAATCTCATTATATAGGCAGTTTTTTGTGTCTTATTTATCTGGTATGTCACTATTTCCACTCATAAAAAATATGTATAAAGATGGATGACATGACTGCTCCCAAAAGGTGAAGCCAATATACCTTGATCGCCATCTGGTGGCTAGTTGCAGTATAGGTTATAAACCATGTGTCCTCCATGTTAGTGGATAGGATATGGGCCAACTACACTTCAAATCATTTCTCCTATTTTGTAGTTAGTATCACACTGATGTATGTTCAAGTGCTTGTCTTTATGGTCAGTTTGGGTGGTTGATGAAATGATAATGGGGTGAAACAAGCATGAGTGACAGCTGAGACTGACTCTAATGTGTTTATTAGCGGGACCCCCTGACTGCGCCTCCATCCCATGATCCCTACTGTGCAGACTCTGGCTCCAAATACTGTCATTGGTGCAAGATGGGGTTATTTGTGTCCAGGATATTTTGGCTGCAGTTCTGGATAGTGGGAGGAAGTTTATATCAAGTCTTAGATACTCACTCATTTAAATACATTTCAATACACTTCCAAACCAAAGCGCTGACTTTGATGAGGCCTTTGTGTTTATTTTACTCTTGACACAACATTTCCGGTGCTTTGATCGTGCAAATAAATCTTCGAATTAGTGTAACCTTTACAGGCAACAGAGTTTCAACACATTGTTTAGAGCTTCTCTCTGACAATACTTTACGCAATTGCTTTTCTGTCTGGCCCAACTCTGTATGTGCTTCATTTGCATTCAGAGGCAGCAGCAAGAGAGCAGTCTCAATTTAACCTGAGGCAAGACTTGATATTCTTGTAAGCTGCATGACTTGTCTTGTACATAAAAATATACAGTGCATGACAAACATGTCTCCATTTGGATGATCTATTTTTTTTTGTTGCACTAACTCAACAACTGGATTGATGTTTCGTTGTTTGTCTGTCCCCGTTGAAAATAAAAAAGCCTTTCAGTTACGAGAGCATGAACAAGGTTTGTCGTGATTGCACAAAAGAGCATCAACACAGTAAAATCCACTGCATTACAAAGTCATACATTTTTCATGGTTACAGTGCTTTTTTACTTTCAGTATGCAGAGAGCACAAGTCTCATTTTGTACAGCACATGCAGATTATTACAATATGTAGCTGTTAACTACGGCAAAGCTGACAGCAACTAATGCACATATTTTGTTGTGCTAAAAAAACAGCTTGAGGGATCCTCAAGAGTGCACTTATCCTCAGCCCAGTTCCTGTGATTAAAGAATTTACCAGCAGGATTGTTGTAAGCAGAAGGGATGAACTATTATGTTTTACATTTCCTTAAAAATCTGTAATACTCCGCAGCCAACATTGTCATAACAATTACATTGATCAAACCCTAACTGCTTTTCAAAAGCCATGAAATGGAAATTACTCCAGAAAATGGAGAAACAATGCAGCAGCTGTATTATGAAATACAACAAACTCTAGCACCTGTGACTGTGCTGGAGTGTAGGTGTCTCCTTTGCATGGTGTATTTCTGCAGCAGTAAACCACCATATATATAAATAGATATATGGGTATAGTAGGTGTTATAGATAGATAGATAGAGTACTTTATTCATCCCCGGAGGGAAATTAAGGAAAAAATCAGGGGAGAGCGCGGACGCAGTCTCCCACTACCAGAAATTATGCAGTCGAGATTCCCACATTTGGGGAATTCGCAGGGGTCAGCACAACCGAAGTGCAATGGCTGGGCCTCGCCCTGGGTGAACCACCTTCTTGATCATGGTATCTCCCCTGCCAGGTAAGTATATATAGATGTAGTAGCACTACAGATGTGCTCTTTAAGTAGAAAAGCCTTTGTAACACACACCAAAAGGAAATAATCCCATACGTGTTCATATTGATGTGCAGTGATTTTGTAGTTGGGCTGTGGACGAAGCTGTGTTCAGTAAATTAAAAAAACATTTCACAGAAAAGACATTATACTTAATGAAATGTTTGCCCCAAACTCAGACAGCACTGCAAATGCAAAATAATGTTTTTTAGCTCTACACATATATGGACTGGAATATGACTCTGAAAATACTCAAAATAAGTCTGTTATTAAAATCTGCAGTGATTACTCTGTGAATGAGTAGCCTCTTTTTTTCTTAATCACATCATTGTGGACTGGGACAATTGAAAGAAAATTACACAGAGAGAGCGTCACATCGAGCACATATACAGCGTTTATGTCTCTATGGTTACAGCTATGCAAAGCCAACTTGCATCTACATTTTTATCTTGGCCATTGTTGAATAACTTCTGAACTGCTCTTTTTCACTACAGAAAATAAATGGATTTCAACAACAACAAAATACCACCTAACCTTTGGGCTTTTGTTTTTCTTCACTCTCTCATTCTATAACATGGCAATAGCGACTCCAGAGTCATAACGTCCCTTCATATGAGTTATTGCAGCGGCGAGCATGAGCAGCAGGCCGGTGGCCACCTCCAGGCTGTAGGAGAGCCAGGCCATGGCCAAGGACCAGCCGAAGGACACATCCACATAGGGGAGGTTCCCCGGGGACACGATCTTCTGGAACTCGTCCATGGCCTGGTTTGAGTATTTTATGTAGATGCTGACGCCGCACAGGGTGAAAAAACCTGTTGGTGCACAGACACAGACAAATGGTTCCACAATAACTTATGTACTTCAAACATGGAAATTGATCTGATCCATTTGACTAACTAGAAGAACTGCCTAATCACACACCACAACAGTTACACTTAAAAAATGCTTTTGCAGCTACAATTTACAAAAAATAGAACAAGCTCGAAATTAACTTGTTAGGACCTGCACCAAATTTCTCACACTCATAAATATCAGTCCCGTGGACAAGCCTTTTTTTTATCATCATGAAATATCCTCTGAGAAATTGAGGAAAATGTTGAAAACAGCGATATCTCTCAATGTTAAAGAAAGTGAAATCAAAGCCCTGGATCCACCCCTTAGTCCGGACCTGCACCAAAGTTTAACAAGATCGTCCCTGAGCCATACTGCATCCTTCCCCCAGGTTTAATGGTAAACCAGTTTTGGTATAACTTGCTTACAAACAAACATGCGACACGGGTAAAAACATAACCTCCTTAGCAAATGTAATAGTATTTTAATCTTCACGCAGTGCAATAGATGATATTATAAAATATAGAATTGAACCCATAAGCCTATTAGTCTAAAACAATTAGTCTCATTTTGAAAAAAAAACTAATTTCCTCATTCATATGTAAATTATTCCATCAAGCTGCTTTTAACTTTAATCAGATTCTTTGTAAATATGAAGCTTCTCCTGTGTATTGTTTACTTGTTAATCCCCAAATACAGAGTTTTCAACACTAATTGTATAATTCAGGCCGGGACCATGACAAGCAGTACCAGCACACACTGTAGCAATTAACCTCTGTTAATTACTGATCATGTTAAATTACAACTGCGGACAGCTTGTCTCCCAATGTCGAGTGTGCTTAGAGGTGCTTAATTAAACCAATCAATCAATAAATCAAATTTAATATGTATACTAATATGGCCCAGAATCACAAATCACAATTTGTCTCACAGGGCTTAAGAAGGTGTGACAAGAAAGAAAGAAAGACACTTGACTTGTGCTCTTGCATTAAGCAAGATTTTACCTCCAGTTCTAATCGACATTCATTTTGTTCGCACAGTCCCCTTTGTCCAAGGCTGGAGAGACAGATGAATCTCTTGGGATCTGTCTCTCCATCACTGGGCAGCTGTGTCTCAGGAGCGGGTCGTCAACTAACCAAGGTCGGTAGTTCAATCGTCGACTCCACCAGCCATAGTGTCCTTGACCTTGATGAATTCATTAATGATTTGTGATAGAAAAATAACTACATATAGAAGCATTGTGTGAATCGGTGAATGTGATGCGTACTGTAAAGCGCTTTCAATGGTTGAAAAGATAATTTAAAAAATCCACTTTATAAATACCATTTACTGCCATTCATCATTTGGAGATCTCTCCTATTAAAACTTCAAACTCAGAAATAGATTGCTAATGCATTTATTTAGGAGGGATGAGAGCAGCCCAAAACTCAGGAATTCAACTGAAATCCATTTTCTGTTTGCCGACTATCAGAGGTGGTACTGAAACTGCAGGAGCTTGGTGCTTGCAGGTGATGTAGAGATGTGGAAGGGATATTTAAATTTGCTGTCTCTGCTGGGGGACATATTGGAGGCTGGGCCTGTCTGCAGAAATGTCAAAGTAACACCTTCATTTTCTGTGACAGATTCATGCCTACACTATCAGCTTAAGATGCTGAACCTCGATATTTCCCCTCATGGAACAAAAGTGCTGCGGATAGATTCACTATATGTTTGAGTGTGTGTGGGTGAATGGCGAACTGTACTGTAAAGCACTTTGAGTTTAATTTACCATCATTTACCATTAACCCATTCAGACCAAATCCAATAGATTTTTGATAGACATACTATTCATTGTGACTGTCCTCTTGCCGAACGCTTCATAGTTTAGTGGAGGAAATAAAAGCAATCTTATTCTGCCATTGTGCTGCTGAAGTATGTCCTCACTGTTTCAATCAAACATAAAGGGGATTACCACTCAGAGCGGACTGTCTTAAAGCACAAACTGCTTTTCTCTCTGAAAAGATATAAGTATATTAATTATGCGATCACAATTACATGTTACATAGATATTCAGGATTTGAGTATCCAAGATTCAGAGACCTCATTGTGTGTGGATACCACAGTAAATCAACTGGACCATCCATTTGCTCGCACTCAATTTCTGTGCAAACGGAGTCGAACTTCTGAGTGACACACAATAACACAAGAAATTGCCCACTGATGATTCCAAGGGTCTGAGGGGATCATTCAATCGAGACACGCTCTTCTGCAGGTTAATGCCATTCACGTGCAGGATTTACTCCACATGCTGCAAAGACCAGGTTGTCTGGTGTCGAAAAATAATGTTGTGACTGATCAGGAACAAGCTTCCAATTATGGTTGATTTTATGCAAATCGGGCCGTGATCTGCTGAGAAAAAAATCACCTCCTTAAATCATCAGTAGCGACTATTTTTGGGAAAGGATGCCAAAACTGTGAATTATCAGTACCACTATAACGGCAAGTCAATCATGCAGTGTCTGCTCACAAAGAGATTGAATAAAGAGACAGAAGAGTTGCACAGCACTGTCACAACCACCAGTCTAAAAGTGCTTTGTGACTAATTTCCTTATTTGCACCATTAAATCCCCATCTTCACCCACTCCAGCAGTGTGAGCAAAAGCATCATTACCTAACCCGACTCAATTAAGTCAAATGGGGCTTTTAACGTCCACAAGGAGATATTTAATATGTAGCTTCAAGTTCAAACCCATAAGATTTTTTTCCAGTCGAGTGCTAACATATAATATTTACACAAATGTAGCTGTTCAAGAAACGTCTGGAGAGGCTAAGTTGTGCCTTTTGTTGTTGTTTTTAGTTTGATGTAACTCAGAAGTGAGTGAGAGCAGCTGACATTTGATTTTCAAGGTTTCTTTATTGCACACACACACGCTCGCTCACTTGCAAGTGTATGATGTGCCACCCACTCCCTTACTCCTGTGCTGAACAACTTACAAAGGCTCAGAAAAAATTAAAATAAATAATCGTTATTGTTTAACTTACTGCAGAGGAGAAAGTGTGTTGCTGATCCAGTCAACAATTTTGGGCTGCGGGCCAACGAACTGACAAGACCAAAGATCCAGCCAAACACCAGCAGGACCAGGCTGAGGGGCAGCAGGATGACCACCACCTTGTGTAAGCCTGCAAACACACACGCACACACAATGCATATTGTATGTAGAGTTTGAAAAGGGCTTTGCAGTGATTTCTATAGGCCCTGTGTCTACAAGTCAACTGGATTTTACCCAGTGCAACATTTTTCAAAGCCCTTTGGTATCGTCAGATTGATTTCTATAATTTGGTTATCCATTAATTTTCATTTTCTACATAGGCAAGAAATCAAAATCAACCTGCAGAATGTTGGGACTGCCTTGAAATAGATTGTCTCAGTAAACAACTGGACAGACTGTTTTAGAAAATCTAAAGTCAAAAAGTCCTTGTTTGCTTTGTGTTGAACACCTGGATATAACAGCACAGCTCTTAAATACAATGTTTTTTTTCTGTTTTCTTTTCTTTCAGCGGCCACCACGACCTACCGATTACCACTGCCAGGAATCTCTTTTAAATCAATTCCTACTTCAGCTGATAAACAAATCCACTCACCAAGAAGGTGCCTTTCCACCTCTGACAGGCTGGACATGTTTGCAGTGAAAGAAAGGATGACCGAACTACTGTTCGCTCCTGAAAATGTCAAGGGAAAAGGTTACACATGACAAGACATAAAGAATGAGCAGTAGGACTCTGCAAAATTGCTCCTGGACACCAAGCAATGTGATGTTTTTGTCTTTGAGGAGTGCAAAGATTATAGCTAGATTTAGAAATGCAACCCACAATTAGATGAATCCACCAAGGTAAAGTTCTCTTTACATTTCACTTCACCTGTGCATGTGTTGACTGTTTTGCACCATAGTGATGGAGCCAGTGCATGTTCCACTCCTGCCAATATGTTACATGTGAGCTGCTTGAGATGCTTCATTATATGCTGTCTTTTTTGGCAGGCAGCTACTTTGTGTATCATGGTGCGGCCACAAATTGAACGCCTCAAGCTGTGCAGCTAACAAGCAGATAACATTGCAGCTGTGTTGAAAAGCATCCTTTTCTCTTTGCAGCCTCATGTGCGTTGGCCTGCAGGGGCTGATACAGAAGTCCCCACACAGTAGTTCCAGTTATTACTTAGAGGGTTGGGGGGGGGGGGGGAGCCATGGGTCTATTATTGCTCACTTAAAGGCAGCACCTGTAGTTCATCACACTCACTATATCTGAAGTGAGAAATTGAAAAATCCATTTTAGAGCAGTTAAAATTCATCATATGATCCTGTTCCTTCCATTTCACCAAACATAAGGCTCTGGGATGACACCTTCTCTGCGCATCAGCTAAGACTCACTTGCACAAACGCAGCAGAATGTGCGTTACTGTATGAATATTGTGTGCCTTTTACGCACAACACTATTGCAATTTAACTGCCCTGGCGAAGCTGCGCAAAAGTTATCCTGAAAAAAATTGAGCTGCATCCAATTTTATATACATTGTACATGAGTAGACGAATTTTCCTCTCTGAATAAAAGCTCGTGCAAAGTACAAACCACGTGCTGAGATTGAGCAGACATACCTTCATAAATCCTCCACAGTCCAGAATGAGAACTCAGGTCGTCTGAGCCTGTGTGGTTGGGTTTATTCACGTCGATGATGTACCAGTAATCAGTCCCAATTGCCACAGCGAGGAGGCAGAAACTGAGCACAGCTGTGCACCCAGCAGCAACGATCACAGATCCGTACCTCATCATAGATATATACGGTCCGCACGTAGGGCGCAGTAACACTGTGGACTCTTTCTTTCACTGTAATCTCAATCGACGCTCCAGGATGTGCGATGCGTAAAAGCTGTCCAAGCGGATCCTTCCCTGGAAAGTGTTGCTCCTCTGCGCTGCAAGCATGTCTATATATGTACTTTTGGATGAACTGACATAAAATATACAATCAATAAAATATACAACCAATAATCATTATTTTTACTTCTTTGTAAAAAAGAATAAGGAAAAAGAAAGAGAGATAAGACAGATGCGTAATTATCTGCGCCAGTTTCACCACACTGACGGATAATTGTGGCGGACAGCAGCAGTAGTCCTCCTGATTAGACCCATAGTGTCTCCTGGAATAACACACTATGTTTCCGGTATTGTCTTTCAAAATAAACGTCCAACCAAGAAAACACATGTTGAGAATGTGTTAAGCTTTTACCTTTTGATAGCCAATTTCCGATAGCTTGATCATTAAAGTTAACTTGACTGTGTAACTGTAATTATAGCCTATTTTCACCAGTAACAGTGGCTGTTACTATGACCAGACCAAGATACAATTCTTACCCCACACAGGATTTAATCAGTATACCCAGTATGAAACGGCAGCTTCGGATTTAATGTTAAACCAAAATAAAAAATAAAAATCAACATTTAAGCCTTTTGTGCTTTCCTCTGATAAAAGAGATATAAAAATATCCCTGTCTTTCGGGATGATCCTATTTAAGAAGTTTGGTTGGTATGAAGCCTGGTTATATCAATAAGTTATTGAAATAAAACATATGAACATCTACTGTCATTAGTCACCTGTCAGACCGAAGGAGTCCTCTAGGGGGGGAAATGCTTATGTGATGTTACTAATAAAGGAAAGACAGCAGCCACGTTGCTTGAGCTACAGGAGGAACCATTCACCTTAAACTGATGAGAGATGAAGTCACAGGCACCTGAACCAAAAAGCAAACTTTAGCATCCGATTGCAGGGTTGGTGTTTCACAATCAAACACTCAATGTCATTCTGCTTTTTCATCAGAAAATGGGTGTTGCATGGAGGACAAAGTTATGACATAAATATCAATGACTAAATCAATTCACAGGAACATTCAGGTCAGTTACTTGTTCGCTGTTAGCTTGTGAGTAAGATTGAACCTTTCTTTTCTTTGGTATTTTTCTATTCCTCTGTTGGCCATTGTTCTTACAGAGTTGTTTGAAGAATGCACATGAGAGGAACTCAGCATGTGTTATTATCCAAACTGTTGAAGTCGGTGAAGACACATGATCAGCAACATTTCTTTGTCCTGACCACTTTCCAGTTTTGACACAATAAACCAATGTGTCATTCAGGCTGTGTTCAGACCAACATTCCTCTCACGACATCATATCACAAGACAGTTGTACTACTTCAATCACTACTTTGTGATTGCTCCTACTTCCACACTCAATATGCAAATACACACCTACATGTCTGTTCACCAACTGATGGTTTAGATGGGTCAGCCATACAGATGCATCCATTGTCAATGAGTTAGTGTCGTTGTGTGTGTTGGTGTCAGAGGAAAAGAGGGGCTGTGCATTATAAAAATAGAAAATCAATATGTGGTGATTGACACAGAGATGTGTAAAAATAATTTTGGTTCATTGTGAAACTTCAGGGAGTCGTCCTAGACGTCCACCCAGGACACACACGCTCACACTGCTGAACATAAGTGGCCACATGCTTCCCAGACCACATAAAAATCCATCTTGGGTGCTTTCACATCTGTACTCAGAGCTGTCCAGTGGTGTTTGAACTGCTCAATACCAAGTCTGAACAGAGCCTCAGTCTGTCACTTTGAGTATCTCTATCTGTACCTTCTATGGTTGCCTGGTTTTTTGGAATAAGCCTCAGTGACCAGGTTGGGGTCATTCAAATCTCTCTCAGTTTTTGTTTGTTCAGAGTTCCCAGCTAATCGGCCAATCAGTTTTATTTGTTCTGTTCTAAAAAGTTAATTCTTAGTTTAATGGATAAGAAGACTTCTTTACATTTGTTCCTCTCTGTAGCTTTTAACAGGCAGTCCTGGGCTGGGCATCTTCATGGCTCTTTTTTGGATCCTAGTTATAAATGGAAATTGGTGTCTTTCAGCACAGCATTGGTTGTGTACTGCTGTGTTTCTGTGGCCTGACACTCAGAGTGAGAGTATGTCAGTGTCCCTGTATTTCACATCTATATGGTAGGTGGTAAGATCGATCTGTGATATAAGAACTATTTCCTTCCTCTGTCTCTGAACGCTGAAAAATTAAATATAGTTTGTATTCCTTAATGTAAAGCGAACGAAAACCCTTTCTGGGTTTCACCGAGGTCAGGACTTCTTGTTCAGGTCTGGCAGAGTGTGTGCAGATAATGCAGCTGCTGTAATATCTCTTTTTATGAGGAACATCAGATCATCTGCAAAACAGAAGTTGTCTAATGTACAGATACAGAACTTAAAATACACAATATTCTTGGAGGTGAAATACATTTTACACTGTGTTACATCATGCAAGATTTGTGCCTTTTTTGGGTTTGATCATCAGGGCTGCTGGTTTTCCTTTCGGGCTGTAAGAAGAAAGTGTAAATATGATATTGATTTATTGGCCAATATTGTTTATATTGTGTGCTCTATATAATGTACGCTGGTTCTATTAACCTTTCCCTGGGCAGGAAATCATTATTTTTTTTGGACACATACATATTTATGTATTTTCACGATTTCTAAATTGCTCCAAGCGTCTTCTTCTGCAATATTGCATTTAAATCCATAAAGACTTATGTGTTGAGCACGAGCGCCTGCTTTTGATCCACAAGAAATCAGAATTGGATTTCTCGCTAACATTTGCATTTTTGCAGATAACTACCTTGGTGAAACTAAACGCTGTGAGTCTGACAGTGTAGCACAAACATTACTGTGTTGGTTGGCCAGAACAACACTGACTGCAAGTGAACCCAGCCAGTGTTGCAGTACAGCAGCCAGAAGAATAACAGTGCCAGGAGTACATATTGACCTCGAGCCATCAAGTCTCACCAGATTTTCACAGCTTTCGTGTTCACACTCACACAGACAGCAAGGGAAACTCGGGTGAGAAAAGTGGGTCAAGTGAAATTGACACATCTGATTTACGTTTAAAGTTAGATTCTGTTTGCAAATACTGCAATCTTTGCCCCCTGGTTTTTTTTTTTTTTTTTGCCTTTGCCATAAACGGAGTCTACATGACGTTAAAAGAGGTTAAGCCATTTAAACAGTTCAGTGAGCGTGTGTGATGATCAGGGCCAGCGATCAAGGCGTTTATGGGCTGTGATTCTCAAAGAAAACTTTTGCCAGCGTAATCGTAGAATCAAACACGAGGAGGCAGTGTCAATTTAAAATGTGTTGGGTTGTTGTGTGTGAGATGTGTGTAAGTGAAATGCCATGCTATGTTGTGGATAAATAGTTTGAAAACTGTCGGAGAAGGGAGAAGGGGAATCCATGTCTTTTTTTCTTTGAGGGCTTTAAGATATTGTGTTTCACAAGAATGAGAATTTGAGAATTCGCTGGAAGTGTCGGCAGATGATCTCCAATGCAGTGAGGTGGGTTGCTAGCAGCTGTGTTTTTTGCCACATGACTGTGATTGCAGCAGGATATAATGGTTTTCACAGCACCTGTCCCTGACTATTATTGTAACATAGAATGAACTACGGTAGGTACACACTGCCACCCAGTGTAGTGAAAGGGAACTCCTCACACTGATCTTATTCTTCTGTGCATTTTATTTATAAAGGAATACCTTTTTTTTCTTCTGAAATTCATACATGGGAAGTATTTTAGAAGCAAGAACTGTGTCCGTCAGCCCTTTTCAACAGACACTGTGACATATCATAGCAGACATAGCACTGACATCATGTCTAATCACCTTAATGATACCATAGTTGCATTTACGCTACAGGTAAATGCTCAAATTTCATCTTTGACATTTACTGTCATATTACTGAGCCCTAACAAAAATAGGCCTTTTCACACAGAGTTGGAGAAGCACAGTGTAAAAAATAACTGTGATTTTGTATCAAAGCTGTTTATTTGACACACTGTTTTTGTCATTATATTTGTGTGATCTCAGTTTGAGGAATTTTCCAGTCACTCAACTTTTCAAGGACTGTCGAGCTTTAAGACATTTTTTTGCAATATTTTGACTTTTATTTTCAAATTTCTAGCGTCTCCATGCAGGTTTTTTAACAAGAAAATTGAACAGGTGTTGTGATATTAACTACTGCATGTCTTAGGTTGCAGACCTGAAAAAGAGTCATCAAATTAATTATATATTAATTATACCTCATACTTATTATTTATTGTAATTCTTAGTCACAATTATAACATGGATGTTAATGTGTGTTAATGGATAATTCGGACTCCTGTGCATTGCAATCATTTGGCAGGCATACACTTTTTCACAGAGTGATAATTTGTTCACACACTTGAAATTTAGGTTGAGTGTTAAGGACATTTTGACATGAGCATGACAGGAGCAGGGTTCCAACCAACCCTACAACTGACTGCTGCTGTCTTCATTACTGAATTCAATTACAATTCTAATCCCGAAGCCAACAAAGATGTTGTCATGTGTTTATTGTTGTCAACATTTTCAAAAATCAGATCAGCAAACAAAAATAATAAAACAGCAAACATCTGTCTATCTTTTTTAAATACATTCTAAAATATGGCCAGAGGCTCTCTATAGAGCTGTTACAGGGTGCGTCTGTGTCTGAGCCTTGTAGACCTTGCTCTGTACAACGTTTCTCTATTAAATGCAAGTTTCACACGTCACACAACCATTGGTTTAGATATTAAACTTGAAAAACTATTGCAAATGTAATTTCTTCCTGGAAATCAGCTGACAAACATCTACAGGATTAATTGTATACAGGTGCAGGCTGTCCTCTGCACTGCACACCAACATCTGTTTCAAACTACAATCATGGCCTTGCAGCTGTATGTCTCCGCCATCTAGGCAAGTTGTGTTTACTCCCATGTCTGTGTTCGTCAGGTTTCTTTACCATTTTGCTCCCACTAATGGATGTTGCTCCTCATCCGAGTCTAACATAAGAGGATGTGGTTTGCTGTACAAATCGTGAAGCCCAATGAGGTAAATATATTATTTGTGATATGGGGATGTATAACTAAAATGTATTAAGTTCAGTTGTTTTTATCCGGTAATAGTTTGTGCATATGTCCATGTGCTTGGCCTGGAGGCTGGTTCTGATAGACAGCAATGTTGCAGCCATGACAGTGGGCAATGCTTCAAATATGGATGTTGCGAAGAATAAGATACTAATTCTAAAATGTGGATGATTCACACACATCTTTCACTTAGGGCACAACACAAGATCTGTACAATCACCACAGATTCAAGGTGGGCACCTCAGTATCTGACCAAAAGTGAAATATGGCCCAAATCCCCCATTCTTCTACTGAGATATGTCATTGAATATCGGACCAAAAAGTGTTTTAAGAACATTGTGATGTCACTGTCAAGTTGACCAATGACCTGTTTGGTATAAAATGTCATAATTGTATCAATTTATACTATTAGAGTGTGAAATATGTCACAATTAGCAATGAAGTCATGTTTTATGAGGTCACAGTGACTATCTCACTAACTTTGATCACCAAATACAGGTCCTCCTTCACTCCAAGTGGCCATCTCTGCCATATTTGAAGAAATTCCCTCAAGGTGCTCTTGAGATATCACAGTTACATGAAATGTTACGTAGTTGGTGGCAGGAGTATGTAATCAATTGAGTGAGTATTGTAAGAGATTGGGCCCTGACTGACAAAGAGTCAGCTAGAGGCTGCTGATCACATAATGGTTTAATGCTGAGGCCCTAAGGAAAAGCGGTGTTGACTGCTGGCCTTGAGTGATGCATCACATCCAACATTATTGATCGACAGTCAATGGCAATGGCACCTCGTGAAGATGGCCACCACCAGTCAAAGCCTGAATTCAAACACTTTTCATTCCCACCCATCAATATATATAAGGCTTATTAAGAGACGGAACAAACGATCTATGCCCCGCTGCTGTTATGGTAACAAAACAGCACAAAATGTGTCATCTACCACCGTTATTCAGCTGTTGTGTATTTACTTAAACTGCCAAGTATGAGTAAGGGAATGGTTTGAATTAGTGCTATAAACTGTCGTAATTATCTGCAAATCATTTCAAATATTTTCCTGATTGAAGCAAAAATACAGTTGCAGGGGATTTTCTTAAATGCACATTTCTCCAGTGCATTGAAAAAGTGTTGAGAAAAGGTCTGCCAGTGTAGGGAAAGGGTTGCTATGACACAAAGTATTTATACTATTTATATATCTAGACTCACTCATCAAGTTATTTTTGTACACCTAGATAATTGTGATGCAGACTCGCAATAAATCCTCCTTTGAATCATCAAAGCAGTCCTCTTGAATTTGTTGTCCACTAAAATATTTCCTTTGGAAAACAAGAACTGCGGGGCAAAGTGACATAGCACTCATTTCATAAACTAAATTAATTTAATCGTTTCAGCTTGAGTGTGGGTAAACAAGGAACAAGCATCATTTTAAGATTTGTCATTTGTGTCTGCATCATGTTATAGGATTTCTTTGTTTCAATGGTCTAATGAGTTGTTGCATTCCACGCATATGTATTCCACGAAGTAATGTATTTAATCCATCATACCACCCAACTCTGAATATAAGTACAGGGTAAAAGGGATACAGAGTGCAGTACGGTTTAAGGCCCCCAGGCAGAGCACCAGCAAAGCACTTCCTGAGTTCCCACCTGGTACATTAAAAATGATGTATCACCCATCAGATACTTTAAATGTGCTCCTCTTTTGGTTTCGAGTTTGTCGCTGACATGGATATGTGATATTTTTACTGATATATGTTCATGAACATGACATGTATCTGTATTCCTGTATTTATCTTAATGGTCCAAATGGTCCATTAAGATAAATGAAAATGCCACTGGAAACAGTCATTGCTAGTTAATGCTGCATTACCTTTGCATCATTACTACACTGTTTCTTATAAAACATGTCGAAGTATTAAAATAATACTGGAGTTGACAGAGATTATAGAAGTGAGATATAAATCTATATAAATTAAATTAATTTTGTATCCATAAACTGTCAGCACTGGTGTGTGTTACATTAGTTTCGGTTTAGATAGACAGACACCTGCATAGATTTTGTCCTTTAGAAGATATTTTAATTTTTTTCTGAGAAGGCTAGACAACAACTTATGGAGCAACACAACTGTTAACTGTTAAACTTCTATTTATTGACTGACCAGTGTGGCTGATATGTTTTTGTCACTGCAACTAAAGTGAAAAAAAAACGTGTCCGGAAGCAGTCACAGTCACTTTCTAATTTCATTATTTGTGAAATCACACATTTGCACACAGTGTGTGTTGTTTGATGTTGGCATTGAACGTTGAACATTTACAAGAAAAAAACAACACACATACCTTTCTAGCATTCACTTCTTCCCATTTAAAAAAACAAACAAAAACAAACCCGGCATGGGAATCGGGCACCTTGCAGCTAGTATAAAAACAGGCAGGAAAATGGAACCCCGTCAGTTCACGTCAATGAGCTGATAGAAGCGAGTTCTGCAACCACATCTTCAGCCCTCTTTGAGGACCCTATTGAAGGGATTAATATTCCCAGAGAGAAGATGCATCAACAGATGTACCATCACCCATAAGAGTGCCTCCCTGGTCTCCACGAAGGTACTTGCCATTGGAGCCCTTGATGGCGACGCGTCCGTGTTCCAGGAACTCAAGGAAAAAGTCCTCTGGCTTCTCTCCATCTGAGCACACTAGGCCACTGCTAGAAACGTACCAGAACTTTCCACTCACACCTGCAGAAGGATATCAGTTCAATCAATCAATCAACAACCATTATCTAAAACAGGATACAGATATAAGCAATGCTGAAATTTAGTATGTTCCGCACACACAAAAACTGACTTTTTACGTTGTAGGCGCCATCGTTGAAGATCAATGAGAATATGTCATAGACAGATCGATTAGCATCCAGAGTGTTGGAGCTCTTGTGGTGACACACAAAGCCATTCTCTCCGTGGAGGATCAGCATGGGGCGGTTGATGAGTTTCATCAGGAGCAATTCATCGTCACCTGCAGAGAAGGACAAATACAGATGAACTCATTTAGGGCATCAAGGCTGAACACGAGGCAGCAATTTCAAACAAACACAACACTTGATGTCAAGCACCTTGCTGCAAAGCTCTTACCCACTGTATCACTGACCGCTGAGAGCTGCCCATTCTTCTTTGTACACACATACTTTCCATTTCTTGCTTTGAGTGCCACCCTCTGTCCTCGCCATTCAATGTCAAACATTGTGTTGATCTCTCTGGGGGGGGGGAAAGACAGGTGGAAAGGTTCTGGCGTGTGGAAACATGGAAGAATGTTTTGTTCTCAATACTACAAGTGCATCTTACACTTCTGTAGCAGTGGACTGGATCTCTCCGTGAGACACTAGAGTCCAGTAGGATCCACCATTGGTTCTGAACAATGCCTTTTTGCTCTCCTTATCAATCTCCATCTGGAAGGTCTCCATGTCTGTCTCCACATCCTGATTGGCTGAAACACTCACTCCTGTTGATACAGGAAAGGACAGTCTTGACAGTTGTGCTTTTGTTCAGTGGAAATTATGGATTACAATATTGCATCCTCTTTAATGCCATTAGCCACCTCTTAAATGTCATTTCTTCCCTCAGGTATTACAAGAGACTTGTGGGCACAATGATAATCCATTTAATTACATCCATGCCTCCTCCTCCTAAAGCAGTGTTCTATTGACAGCTGACTGTCCCCATATGGGCAGCAGGTGTTATTAGGTCACATAAAACATTTTATTGGGCAGATAAATAAAATGTCAATGCAATGAATTTCATATCGACACATTAATTTTATCTACAGAAAACACACATTAGGTTTCCATCTATTATTTTATACAGTTCATACAATATACAAAAACTGACTGCTACCCATAAGTGACACCAAAGCATGGTTGGCTGCTCTATTAGTCATTAAGACTGTGTCCTCCATGTTAAAGGATGGGGCATGGACTAAACTATATCAAAGTGCATGTTAAATAACTGTTTGTCAAATATGTTTTTTCTCATTTGAGGTAGTTCTTATCACACTGATGAGTCAAGTGTTTTTTTTCAGGTAAGTTTGGTTTTTATTAGGTATTTGATGAAAAAACTTCATGTTTGTCTCATGACAGGACATCGCTACTGCAGCTCCATCCCCTGTTCCCTACTGTGCAGATTCGGGTTTTGTCCAAGATGGTGGCGTTTCTTTCTGGGATAATTTAGCACCATTTCTGGATAGTGAGAGGAAGTGGAGACACATGAATGAGCTATATATAATGTATAGTCTATGATTCCAACCTATTTCCTGAAAAATCCTGGTTGCTAATACCATTCAAGGGTTCTAGCACCATAAATTATAAAAAGTGTTACCTACTACCTACCCCTGGATGTCATCACCTGAAAGTGGCTTTGACAAGGTGTTGCTTCTGAATTCCTTCCAAATGAGCAAATGATCTTTGCTAATACAGGGTCATCTCAATGTGCAATGTGCAAATGAGCTACTGATGTTCCCATTCCATGAACAGCTAAAGCTATACCCAAAACAGAACTACATCCAAATTATGAATTTTCTATTCAATAAGTTAAAGCACCATTGACTAAACTTGAGTACCTCACCTGCAGGCAACCTAGTGTTATGCACTTAATCCATATGTATTAACTCTGTCTGGTGGGGTGTGTCAGGTGGTGGAGAATACACAGACACACAAAACAAAGCTGTGTCTGCTGTAGTTCAAATTAGATGCCACAGAAATATCCTTCAACCTTTCTCTTAAGCCTGTTACAACCCTAATCCCCCACAGTCACCCCTCCACCCTCCCTGTTCATTCGCTTGCTGTAATTCCCTGAGTGGTGAAATGCAAATCTGCACCGCAGGGCCTACTAAGCAGCTTTCAGTGCCTTGTTCCTTAAAAAATGTAAAACCGCCACAAGGCCAAACACCACAGTCAAAATTTTGATTCTTTGCCCCATATTATATGGATGAGGTGCCACATTGTTGAAATACCCCCCCGACAATAATAATTTTTAAAGCAGAGTTCTATAAATGCTTAAACATAATGATGACTGCAGTCTAAAGTGCTGTTAGTCTATTTAATGGTGTTTTTAAATCTATAGAGATCTGTAGTAAAACAATGTTTTTCCTCACATTGTTTACTTGAATAGTTATAATACAGGACAGAGCAGATCACTTGCTGCAGGGCTGTGAAGAGACCTTGTAACTGATATGTCTGGCACGGCCTGGCTGTAGCTATTTTTTGCTTGCTCACCTCCACACCGGTCGACTATAATTTTGAGACCTTTGCCTGAAACAATACCTTAAAGAGTGAGATATTGCAACGCTTACATTCCATTGGTGGTAATTGACACCGATGGGACACAGATCCGCCCTGGAGTCATTTGCACCCTGCTTAATCTTCAATGGACACATGGTGGAAATGACAAAGCCCATTACTACAGTTACCTCTACTGCATGACTGTCAACCACTCCAGCATGTACAGTAGAAAAGAAAGATAGGGCCTTCTCTCATTAGCTTGTAAATGTTCCTGGTTTTCTCTTTATGTCACTGTAATATAACTGTTAAAATTTAATTAATTCAGTGCAGGGCATCTCAAGTTAATTTTAATCCCTCATTTGTATACACAGTGTGATATTTTAATTTACTTCACACACACAGTGGCACTGCTCCTCTCAAGAAGGTACAAAGAGCATACCGAGTACATTGTTGTGAGAGTCAGACTCGATTCAAAGTCAGCATCAATATTGAAATCTATAAAATGTGTCAGTTTTGCAAAACTCTTTTGGAGATTAAACAGAGACACTCAGGGAACAGAAAGCTGAAATAAGGTAGAAGACCAATGAAAGGAGAGGACCACTGATCTGAAATCAGCATTACCCATGTTGGCAAAGTCTTACATGCTAACATTTTGGTACACTGGTTGAAATTGCTGTGACAGTTATGTTTAGCTCACCTGTAAACTATATTGTTTTCATGTCCATTTGTTACTCTTTAGATACCCCTGCCTTGCTTCATTTTGAATATATTCATTTCTTGTCATTTCTATGTCCATTTGCATTGTTTACAGTAAATATTGTTGTCACACGACTATACTTTTACTACTGTACTGGATGGAGCAATCAATTTTTTGTGAATATCAAAATCTCAATTTTTAGCATTCCATAGGGAGGTAATGTAATAGAGACTGCACTAAAAGCTGATTACCTTGCTTGACCGAGACAAATCTTTTATTGGCCGCTTGGAAAACTACTTGTGGATGACTCTCCTCAAGATCAAACAGCTCATCTTTTCCAGGCTTGGAGCATCGACCTGAACGCAGCGTTCCTGTGGGACCCACTGGGGTCAGATATTTCCCATCACAGTCCTTAAAGGCCAACTTGCCAGATTTCAGCTCCAGGGTGAAGCTGGTATTATTGTTGTTCTCCTTCACCAGTTTGCCATCATTGCTGAGGAAACGGCTGTCACAGGTCTTCAAGCTGTACTTGCCGTCTAGGTAGACCAAGGTGACGAGGGAGACCACTCCCCAGGGAATGTTGCTGTCCACAGAGATCTCTCCATCTGAGGAAGACAGATGGGCATAGCGCTTTCGTGCCACACTTAGCAGACTGGCCTGTGGGTGTAAAGCCAAGTGGACGGCCCACAGCTCTTGTTCTCCAACGACTTGGGCAAAGCAGGACAGGTAGTCAGCCGAACCTCCAAAGTAACGCAGGTAAGGCTCCGATTGCAATGCCCATCGACCATCAGATTGGGGCACGATAAGGAAACGGCAGTCGGGGTCAGGCTTCTCAGCCCCACACAAGATCTTCCCATCTTTGTCAGAGGCTAGGTAGCGTCCCAGGTGGCTGCGGAGGAACACTACTTGGCTATCTTGCTCGTCCTGCTCCAAGGTCCAGATCTGTTTCTTCTTCATGCTGGTGCCCGAGGCATTCACCTTGAAGCCAAAGGCCTCAGCGGTCAGGTAGCGGTTCTCATAGTTAATGAGGCCAAACTGCAGCTTCAGGGCCCTGTTAATTCCGTTTGTGGGCATGCTTGAACAGGCTGCACGTCAAGATCGAAAGCAAAGAGACTTAGGACAAACAAGGGAAAGGGTGATGAGGGAAAGCGGGCATGAGACAGAAAAAAATTTATAAAATGCTTGATTTCTCCCTTATTCCGCCTCTCAAGCCGTAAATTAGCTCCACTTATCTCTCTAGATGAGTAGTGAAGTGTTCCTTCCCTCGTCACTTTCTCTCTTTCCCCAGAGGACTTGCACGGGCACTTGCTCTCTGTTCCTTAATGAGTTAGGATTAAAATCAGCAGGACACAGCACCTCAATCCAACAAGCCGCTGACGTCACACACCAGTGCACCAACCACAAACCTCCCTTCCTCCCACTCCTTCTCCGGCACACTCTCAACGGATGCTCATTCTCTATCTCTTCCATATTTTCTCCTCATACTCTCATCTCTTTCTTTTCTCCTCTATGTTGTCTTCCTTCCCTGTAATTCACACTGACACACTCATTTGTCAAACTGAGTCCCAATTGGTTCACTCTCATATTTAGGTCCACACACTCATAGCCATGCCATCCAGCCTTCGGATTATCTTAGCTCTGATCTGTTGGCGAGCCACAGCCTAATTGGAAAATGTCCAGAGAGTAAAGGTGCTTTTGTTGTTCCTGCTGCCTCTCCTTCTCTTGTGAGTCCCCTTTCAATGAGATTTTGTCTAAGATTAATTGAGTTTTTCATGGGCAAAAATACAAGCACAATAACAGTTCCTATCCATGAATAAGTATTCAGCTTGTTAAAGACTTGATGTGAAGATTTAAAATGTTTTCACAAAGACCCTTTCTTTGCTTTTGACCATACTCAAATTGCATGGGTGACTGATTTAGAAGCATAGGCTTAACTCCAAAAGCATCACAAAGGTTTCTTTAGTATATAAGTTATAATCCCAGTTTTCCACATGCAGGTTCAGACAAGCAACATTATATTTGGCTGAAGTCATCAGATATATTTGAATTTGAGATCTCTGTGAGTTTAGCTTGGACCAATTTGAATGGGTCACATTTGAATGTACAAGCATTGCCCATTTGCCTTTCCTCCACTTACACCTTGGTTGATGCACAACCTTATTATTTCTAATCCTCCTCTTTTTCTGTAAGTCCATTGAAAATAGAGGTCGCAACTTCTTGCCCCGTGACCTTTGTCACACTGCACGCCAAGATCAACCATGTAAGAGCATTACCACCCTCTTTCTCTAAAGTTCCGGGGGGAGGTTGAGGACAATGCCAAAGAGACATCCACACTGTAAATACACAAACACAAAAGTGTGTGATTCAAGCTAGGGTATTGTCTTTACTTTAGTTTAATAGTCTAATAGTTTAATAATAATAATCAACTGGCAAGTCAATTTGAAGTAAGTTACAGACAATACTATGAACAAGATACAGCAGTGGCAAAGACCAGGGATTTCTTATCTTTGATTGATGATGAGGTGGGACTGTCACTGAAAGTAAAGTTTGGCAATTCTTTGCATTTAGTTGGAGCCTTGTGACCGACAAGACCTAATCAGGAAATGAATCTAGGTGACTTCGTCATTCTTAAAGTATTTTTCTATGCTTACTGCATTCAGGTTAAATGCCTTGTTGCTCTCTAGTTCTCTTTATTTGTTCATTTTTGTCACTTTTCCTGTGAATAGTGAGTGTAACTCAATGAAATCTCTAAAGAGGGATGATATTGCCTCTTCTCCCTCTCAATGATGATTAGTCCTTCACTCTGCCTTTGAGAGCGACTTGTTGGAGCAACTATAAACACATCTGATTTCTGGCAAGGTCAGATGGTGAGTCATACAAACTCAATCTTTTTGAGAAAAACTCAAGGTTAACCTCTTCAGTCCCACTGTGTTTGGACTAATTCATCATTGATTTTAAATTTTCAGCCAAAACTTCATTCAATAAGGTAATCAGAAATGTATTATTTTTAACAACCCAAACTAACAAAACAACATATACAAATGTGTATAGAAACCTTCAACCCCAGACATAACCCTGATCCATCTTTCACAAATACACAATACTGTAAATTATTTTTCATGTATTTTTACCCTGTGCTCACTAGATGGCAGCATTGCCACGTATAAGTGCATACTATTTTTTGGCATTGACATTAATAAATCGACTACGTTAACTTATGTATTAATTTGTAAATCATAAGAGTTAGGATGTCCCTCTATCTATTTATATATCTCCAACTATCTATCTATCTATCTATCTATCTTATTTTTTATTTTATTAACTTTAAATATTGGACAAACACACCAGTCACATTTCTTGAGTAGTCTTGGCTTGGGCTCAGAGGCTACATATTTTTTTAATGGAAATGGATTGGGGTTTGAAAGGTGTGGCTATTTGCAGGCTGAGTTGCCTATTTTGGGACACAGCCCAGCTTTCAGTTAATTGTACAAAAATGAACTTGAATCATTTTCCTTTTATAAATTTTTGAACCAAAGCAGGTTTGATATGTTTGCATATACACACAGCAGTATTTTTAATGGTTGGTATAATTTAACAATTGCCAGTGGATGGCAGTGTTGACTGTAAATTGTAGTTTGTTTTCTCTCATACATTTAGATTGTGTTCACTGGGTTATGCAGAAAGAAGAAAAATACAGTATTTAATGACAAAGGTGTCACTGATTTTCACAAACTTTCCTAATGGAAAGGATTTTATCGGCCAGTTGAAACACTGACTAACATATAAATGATTTCATTTTTGAGACTATCCTAATTTTTCTCGACCTGATTAAGAAGAGTCTCATCAATTAATCCATTCAACCTTTTTATTAGTTTATTGTTTTGTTTTTTTTACAAATTCCTGCAACTTATATTTGCTATTATTGTTTTACATGGTGGCAAGAAATGTAAAATAATATTAAAAAATAACTATTTAAAATAATTTAACGGCTGCCTGCGGCCAAATTAGACTCTTGGAGACATGACAGAATTTGGTTGTTGCAGGTATTCAAGATGAAAAATGGGAAAGAACCATGAAACTGGTCTAAGGATGTACTATCACTGATATCACTATCTGTGATGATTGACATATTTTACAAATGAGGACAATATTTTGTCCTTCAGATATCCTCCTCCTTGTAGGTCTGGGTTGCCCAAAACTCCAGGAATCTTTTGAGCGATACCTGCATTACATTTAAACTGTGGTGGTCCACTAGTAAAGCCAAGTTGTGACTGGATTTCTCCCTCTCTGTTTCTGTCTAGGTTGTCTTCATATCTTTCTATCTTTACTGCACACTCTTCTCTCTCTTTCCTGGCATCCCCTGCCGGAGGTCTTAGTCAAAAAGAATAATAAAACCTTTTACCGTTCAGCTCTGAGAGAAAATGATTGAAGGAGGGGAGAAAATGAGCGAAAAGGTGGCTGGTTACTTGCAAACACACATAGCCGTGCACGTGCACAGGCGTACACATACTGTATACATGCACTCACACACGGATCAAATGGTGAACTGAGGTCTCCCCCAGGGCATGAACATGGATTAATGTGCCCAGCGCGATTATTTAATTTATAACTGTCCTGGACCTTTTCAGATAAGACCATTTTTCAGGTTGCCATCCATTAGTACCTTTAGACTGCATCTATTAGCCTGCCAAGCACTCACAGCTCCATTTAAAGGGCTAGCACCCTCCCTGTTCAGCCTGCTATTGAAAGCGCATTCACAGAAAAGTCAAGGTTGTCTATTGGCAAATTAAACCCGACTAACCCTCAAAGGACTACGGTGCAAATGTCTTAATCTGACAAGTAAAATGACACAGTGGAGACCCCCAGTAAATTCCACTATGATATGAAAATACTTCACAACAAAATATCATCAGAAAATTGGTATTACCAATACCTGACGAATTGAACGCTATTACATTTTCTTTAACAATTTACTTAGTTATTGTTCATCAGTATACATCCACTGGAGAGTTTATAAAATCCTAAATTATAGCTAGGTCCAAAAATGTCTTTGCTGTCTTTTGCCCCCTCGGGACCCTCCTGCGGCCCTCTCTAAATCCAGCAGAGGAAAACGGCCCATGAGGCATGCAGTAAAAGTAAAATGTAAAATGGCCGCCTTGGCTGGGATTCTCCTTCCTCAGCAGCTTGGTGATCACTGACCCCATTAATCCAGGTGTTCATTCATCTACAGGACGATCCTCCCACAGGCCGTTAACAGCTCACCCCACCGTGTTTGCCCAGCCCCGAAAGCAAGTCCAGCCCCTGGACTTCTCACTCCGGCTCTACCCGGTGTAATGAGCACGGCCAATGAGCTAAGTATGGGCAGCCATATAAATGAGCCTTGGTAAATGTCAAGCCTTTTAATTCTCAGTTGTAATGCCACATTTGTTTTGTAGGCTGTCATTTGTTTTTGGAGTGAGCCAAACTTGTTAAAGCACCCCCTCCTCCTCCTCCTGCACATTCGCCAAGGAGCGCAGACAGAGAGCCGCTCATGCAGAGAGAGACGGTGGAATAACTTAATTGGAGGTTACACTGACGTCGGTGCAACACATTATTGACAAAGACACCTCAACTCTTAGAGAAAGCAGTTTGTAAATAGGTACGGAATAAAAAAGATGTTCCTCATTGATTGAACTGCAGACTGGTGTTGGTTGCTGTGTTCGGCTGTTTGCAGACCGGGCTCTTGTTTCGATGCAGACAGGGTGAGCTTTAAGGGACAGGAGCACTCATGTTGATGTCATCCTTTGCTTACTGGCTCTGACAGCAGGGCTAATACGAGGCCTCAGCTTCTGCCATCCTGACAATTCCCTGTCTCTTTCATATAAAGTGAAACGATCATGTGAATTACAATGACAGGTATTTGTGTGTATGCAAAAACGTGCTTCTCTCTCTCTTTCTGTGTGCGTGTGTGAGGGAGAGAGAGAGAGGATGTCTATACAATCTTGCATATGTAGCTAATTCTGACGATGCTTCGGTGTGTCTTTTATTTCTGCGTGCATGTGCATGCAATTATGGCAAATTATGCACAAACATAT